CATATCATCTCAAGTATATCGCGATTGGAAAATACTCGTCTCTTATTATGCTCCATATAATTATCACCTATTAAACCAGCAATTAAAGTCGATCTATACGACGCGAATGGGAACATTCGTTGCGCGATCAATCATTGCTACACTATCATTATTACACATTATCGATATTCCTGCCTTTCCTTCACCTTCTCCTTCCCCCACCTCCCCCACCATGCCATCTCGACGATTTCTCGGCAAAGGGAGAACTGATTGATCTCTTTATCGGCGACCATCGTGACATTCAAGAACCAAGCCTCTCTTCCAGGTTGCGGCAAAAGAAAATGCGGCGGTCGCGGTGGACGTATGCGTGCGTGAGTGCGTATGCGTGCGGTTGCCGTCTCGTCGCGGCCTTCCGCGTCTTCTTCCCAGGCTGCCATCGACGGTCGGACCATCTCTCGATGCCGAGCATCGAGAGAGCAGCCGCGTTCGGGACACCTGTCTCCGACGGTTATCCCACGTTAAGTACATAACCAGTTTCGCAACGCGAGCTCGAAAGCCCCGGATATACCAATCGACTCGCCACGCACACGCTCGCACACATCGGCAAGCTCTGCACACGCACGTGTGCAAGAATCTCTCGCACGTGTGCGCGCATAAGATCGTGCGAAGCGCGCGAGCACACGCAAGGGCGGACGGGCGAATTAGGCGAGCGACGACGAATGCGGGGGAGTCTGATCGCGATGATGATACTGGGTGTCCACGACGATTCACGTCGGCTGGGAATCCCCGAACGGCACGTAGATGATTTGCGAGAGCTTGAACGTTGATTGCGTTTGAACTCTCGCGGATTGAAAAATCGCGAAGACATGGTGACAAGTAAAATTGTTCCCGAGGATGAAGAAGACTACGTGATATTTTCATATTATTATAATAATCGGAATCATGTAATATTATTTTGCGTAAACGGCTCGTATCATGGGAAAGCTTCGCGCGGATGAAGTGTTTAGGAACTTCTGCGAATTCCAGGTGACACGGAGAGATGATTCACAATAGCTTGATCGCCGCTTTCGTCTCATCTCTCGTGAATGGAAAAATCACAAAAGGACATGATGATAAGTTTTCTCGAGAGGCTATGCAATATTTTCATATTGTTACATAATAACCGAAGTCATAATATTTGTGTGAACAGCTCGTCCTGCGAAAAAGCTTTGCGCGGATGAGGTGTCTAGGAATTTCCGCGAACCAGCGCGCTTTCTCCCAGCTGCGAACTCCTCAATCAATTTGGCGTCGATTTCTCCTCAGCGAAAGTTTAATTGGACGTCACATTTTTTCGCGCCTTCTTTAGTCCCCGCGTTTAAGCGATAATTAAACGGCACTTCGCGGCGTTTAAGCGTCTCCCACTCGAGGGTAGCGTCGAAAGCCCGTGAGCGGGATCACACGCGAGCACGACTTCGTCGTTCAGTTTGCGAGCCTCGACTTTTTCTCATCAACGTGACTCTCCTCCTCCTGCCAGGTCTTTTTTGCGATACTTTTATTGAATTACGACATGCCGACGTGACTTTCGAGACACCCCTTGCACACGAAACGTATATTAGGTATACCGAGCTGGCCGGACGAGTACAAACGCGAATGCGAATGGCAAATGGCGGGTGACAAGGCATCGGCATCTGCGCTTAATTAATGCAACACCGGCCGCAACGATACAGGAGGAACCCATGAGAATGCTGCGGGACGATCACTATGCCGGCCGCCGACAACGGCGACAGAGAGATCGTGCCTCTCGACGGGACGACCCGCGGACGGTGCCCAAACCAGTCCAGGGTGTTCAATTATGCGCGTCATCGACCGGCGCGTCTCCGAATCGACGAGTCGCGCGATGAAAGAGAAAACGCGTAACCGGAAAAACTTCTGCGTAAGTATCGACCGTGTCCATATCGAAAAACTAGACCAATACGACGGGATAATAACAAGATGTGACAGAGAGGAATTTTTTCGCGACTTGTATTGCAATTTTTAAGGTGAGTTCCAACTTAAACAACTTGGTTTTCTACCTAAAGTTAATTCAAGTTATTAGTCTAATTAATTAAAGATTTCTCTCTCTCAATTCAGAAATTAAATTCGACAATTTCTAATATCAAAGATGTATTAAAAATTAAATCACAGTGAAAGATAACACGGACAGTCTTATGCAGTCAATTATCCTTTTTTCCGAGCCGGGAAACGCGATGCTTAAATGAACATTTCCGCCGTAGGGTGTCGGTAGGCCCCGCAGGGACGTCCTCATATGTTGCACTAATTGGTACACTAATTAGAAAGCTGTCGCGATGTAAAATATCTAAATAGTCGTCGTTCATAATGGAAAATTAAATACTCCAGTTTCCTAGCAGGTCACGCAAGTGGCTTTTTCGAACTTCCGTTCGGGATTTAAAATTAAATTGTGAGAATACACAGGTGTAGGTGCATGCGCGTGTATACGAATATCATGGGCAATTATATTCATTGTGTAATTTATCGTTGGGGAGGGAGGGAGGAAGCGATTTCATTCTTCCATACTACTGACAAAATCAGGTCTCATATCTGCTTGACGAAGGGACGCGCTAATTCCGCCGGACGGTAACGCGCTGACGCACGGCCGCGCGTCATTGAGCGCCGGTATTTCGAGATAGGTACGGTAGTTGCCGATCTTTTTTCTCTTTATCTCTCCCCCTCGAACGGACACCCACGAGGACCCGCGTGTCTCTGTGCGAAAGCAATCCTCTCTGTATAGGATGCGACAGCGCGGCGCCAGCCGCGCGCACACAGCCAGCCAGCTAGCTAGCCAGCCAGGTTCCGCCGCTCGATTCCTGCTCGTCGCTTCGAGGAACGAGTGCAAGTACACTCGGCTTACATAAGGCTCGACGTACGTGATACCGCGATCGCGACGGACAGGGGATGCGATCCTGCAACTTCTCCGGAGGCAAAAAGGAGAAGAGAGAAGAAGCAAGCTCGATGGGAAAAATACCCATTTTGTAACGCGACATATTTCATCTGGATCTCTTTCCGAAACAAAGACATAATTGCAAGCGAAATTCGAAAGGACAGAGATATCAAGTGTTGCTAAAATATCGAGATTTTGAAGCAAGTCTGGCTTTAAGGCTTAAACTGTAATAAGTAACTATTTGTATCATCAAGGCAAGACAATAGATTTTACGGTTTTATGTCTGGGGTTTCTTCTTTGGCGCTGCAAGCTCGACTAATGCTGCAATTCCAAGCAAATATACGAGTAAATCGTAAAATCGTAAAGTCGTAGCTTACGAAAAAAACAAAAAAAAATCTTAGATATTTACGAGTTATCGTATGACATACGGTCCACATAGAATTGCAGATTTACTCGTAAGTTCTTACGAGTCTTACGAAAATACGTTACGAGTTTTACGATTTTGTCTAGAATTGCAGTATAAATCTGCAGATTTAATGTAGAATCAAAACTTGTGTACAAAAGCGTTATTGTATCTGGAGTGAAACGTAACCAAGTCCTTTCTACGCATTCGACTCTCTCTGTGGGAAATTGATTTACACAGGTGAGGGGTGTTCTCGCTAGTCCCGTTTCGGCGAATGTTGAATTATTGCGAAATGCAGAGGGCTCGGTCGCGCAACCCTGATAATTTTTTCGTGCGCGAGGAAACCGTGGAAGTTTCCGTGAAACTTTCCGGACCCACCCCGAGCGAGTTTCCACGAACGCGAGCGTACACGAAAGTTTTGCAGAATTCCCGCGTTAATAGAGAACTATTCGTGTGTCCGCCACTTAGAGACGGACACGGCACATAGATGGGAGCGAGATCAGCGAGCGGGCAGATGCTCGTCGCGCGGGCTCCTTTTTCCTGTCCGGTCCCAAATAGGGCAGTGCCGAGTGACTCGGCGCCTGCGAGGGCCGCGGTAAACCTCTACTCGTCTCTATCACGACTTGACATACACGATGAAGTACGTGGTACACGCGACGGAATATTCGCGGTAGCACAGATAGATAGCGAGTATCGCGAAGCAGCATCTCTCGAAGAAACTCTTGCGCGACTCGCAGAAACAGAATGACGGTCGCATCCCGTCGCGACCGCATTCGACGTCCGGGCGCGACGAAAATTTCGCCGGCTGTTATGAGCGCGAGGAGAACGTAATCTCGAGGGAGAATCCGCGCGACAAACGGTGGATTTTCCGGAGAATGCTGACAGTTTCGGAATTATCAAATATTTATATCTATATTAAAATTACTTATCGATCCTGCGAACGTTAACATTATATACTGGGTCTGTTTTCTATTGCTGAACTGGCTGCATTAGTTCTCTCTTATCTTCCACCAAATTTTATCTGTATATCTGTCTCTTTTTAAGTTCCGAAAGTGTACTCTAGTTCAGCAATAGAAAACAGACCCACTGTCTCCTTTTAAGCCTGAAACACAATACGTCGTATCTCGGAGTTGAATGTCGGGACGCACCTGATGATCCAATAAGAGAATTTATTTTTCGAGAATAAGTTCTCCTCATTGGACCATCGGCTACGTTCCGACATGCGACAGCGACATACGATGTATTGCAGGCCTTAATCCTCGATATACCACCAAAATGTAATTTTAATTTGCGAAATTCATTTTTTATCAATGTCAATTATTTGTAACATTTCATATACTTTATTTTGTTTTTTCTTAGAAGTCTTTCAGAGAATAAAGAGAAAATTATTCATTTTATTTTTTAACAGAATAAATCAGTTTTTACTATGAAATATATAAATGTTCCTAATAGAGAGAATAAATTATTGAATTTAATCAATGCCGTAATTATATAAAATATCATATTTTTAAAAATTAATCCTCTAACCTTTTTTAACCAAAACCGTGATGGTATACCAAGATTAAATACAATGTATGTACAAACATACAACATCTTTCATCACCCAGCGTAATGATATTATCATGCAAAATGCATCATATGCACAGGATGTAGGCATGATATACATGTACCACAAATTCATATATGATAAGAGACACTCACGAACAACGTCAATGAATCAACATCCTAAGGATCTGCCAATTTACCAACAACCCGAACTTCTCTGATAATTCTTTGATTTTCCCATGTTGCGCCGATTTTCAAGGAACCACTAATTTCGACTGCAGTTACTGTTGTTCCTGTACATAAAATGAATCGATTAGGTCATTGCATAAAAAAAAAGAGCAAGTCTCGAGAAAGTAGCAATTTCACGACACAGTTTTATCAAGTACCCAGATAGCATACAATATTTACAAAATACTTTAGAAATATAGATATTAAATATTTTATAAATATTCTAATGTCCGAGATTTTCAGGTATGAAAAATATTATGATATATAAATATTTAAAAATATTTATGAAAAATATCATAAATCTTTCATAAATCATAATCTTTTTCATAAAAGTATTTATGAAAAATGTTTTTCATAAATATTTTAAAATATTTATTATAATGTTTTTTATACCTAAAAATCTCAAACATGTGAATATTTATAAAATATTTAATATCTATATTTTTAACCTTTGGAGGACCGGAAGCCGATATATCGGCACGACGGCGGTATCAGCTTTTTCCCCATTCAATCCAATGACATTGACAAAAGCTGGTCCTCAGAAGGTTAACATATTTTGTAAATATTATGTGCTGTCTGGAGTATCATATTAGTGATTAATATATCATATAGCTGTGGCAGCTAAAATGTGTTTTCATCATAAATTTCGAATACTACACTCAGATCATATTTAGCTGATCTATTGACAGTTCTAGCCAGTGAGCTCTGTATACACCTTAACAGCACAGATATCCAGGAGACGTTTAGACTAGGTCCTGAGAACGTCCTAGAGACGCTACATCTTCAGGGACATCCCCAAGAGATTTTGTGTTGTTGGGTACTGGAGTGAGCCATCATAGGTTTGGTAGTAAGGCTGTCTTTGTCTGAGATTAAGTATAAAATGAGACAGCCTTACCACCAAACGAGCTGATTCGTTAAGTATAAAGTGAGACAGCCTTACCACCAAACCTATAATGGTTCACTCCAATACGTATGGAGCTCACTGATTCTAGCAGAGTTCTAATCCCTACGATCAAAGAAGAGTTTTGGACACTCGCAGGAAGAGTGATGTTAACTTCGAAAGTTAAAAAATTATTTAAAAATAGGTAGCCGTACCGGAAATTCTCTTAAATTTTTTTCAGAACTCATAACTGCCTGTTCCGCAACATACCTATTTCGAACGCGTATTTGACGATATCTCGTCACGACAAACGCATAATACTTACTTTCGGCACTCTCAGCGATGATCCACGCACGAAACTCGCACTGGACAAGTCGAAATTGCGTAAACGAGACGATTTTTGAAATACGTTATTCTTGCTGCGTCGCAATTCGTTTTCAGTCAGTATAGCCAACTCATAAGAAACATTCAACACAAGTCAAACGCTATTGGCCAGCAAATAAGAAGTCTATTAGACCCGTTATTTTTGATTGGCTGAAATAATTCCAAAGTCTCCACTATGAGTCGCCACTTTCCAGATTGAGTTGAAGTGCCATATGATTAACCAATAAGACCGATGATTGCATTTCTCGTTTTATTTAATGTTTATTCGTGTTGCTTGCTCCTTTGATACTTTTCCACCTAAAAGCCGTTGCACAATAGTCTTTCTTTAGAAAAGAGCTCTTATTGGATTTACTCATCACATCTACGGTATATAACGAATATTAGGTGCAAAAATGCAAACAAATGTGAACAAATCTCTAGTATTAAGGCTCGCTCATACAAATTCCCGTAACCGTAGACGTAAGACGTAAAGTTGAAGAATAAAGGCCATCACACACAAAATTTCGTAAGAACTTTAATCGTAAGCGTAAGGAAATCGACCAATCCCAATCGAGTATTCGGCTCTTCGTAATAATGGAGGGGTTACGAAGAGCCGAGTGCTCGATTGGGATTGGTCGATTTCTTTACACTAACGTTTTAAGTTCTTACGGAATTTTGTGTGTGATGGCCTTAACCTAAAGAAATTAGAATTTACCTCTTGTCCACAACCTTGCTTTAATCTTTAAGCCGTAATAAATTGATCAATCACAATCGATTATTTTAAAAATAATTTTAATAATAAAACGACCTTAAAGTCGTTCTACATTATAGCATGTTCGACTGGCTCTAGGTTAACCCACTCTATTCAGCCTACGTTTATTGGTCGCACAAGTACTTATAAGCTTTATGATTGGCTAGTAGAGACTTATGACGTCATTAATCGCTCTCGGAGCGATTAACCCAGGACCAAACACGCTATTAGTTGCAAGTCGATTGCAACTCTTGTTGCGACAGCCAATCAGAAGCGTCAATAGCACCGTTGATGCTTCTGATTGGCTGTCGCAATAAGAATGCGTCTGCTTGTGACCGGCTTGCAACAAATATAGAACGACCTTTACAGCGTGGCCTACGTCACGCTGTAAGCAGACCAAATCTTGCATCTCTGCCCGAAAGATTCATCAATAAGATTTATCAAACTCAAAAATCCAAAAAAGTAAAGTAATACTATTAATAATTAATTTAATAATGACGAATTAAATAGTTAATAGCATAGAAATCAATAAAATTTGAGAGCAGTAAATAAAAATTTTCGATTCTTGAATAAAAGAGGAGTCAAACATCTATTAAACATTTTAACATCGTCCAATCTCAAAGCCGAGTGGGACAGGGTGAGCAGAGCATGCGGAGAAAGTGAGGTTAGACTAGGTTAGGTTAAATTAGACGTGGTAGGCCTTAAGAAAGGATTGACATCTGTAAGAAGCCGAAGTAAAGAAATTATCTCAACGATGTCAATGGAAGACACGAACGGGATGTCCAAGATCACGGGTAAAATCGCGGATATGGAGCTCGAGGAGACGAGCGGCAAGAAGCTGACACACAAAGAGAAGAAGAAGCTGAAGAAGCAGCAGGAATACGAGAGAACGATGGAGATGCTGACGAAGACAGGTGGTCAAGGTCACAGCGAGTTGGAGACTAACTTCACGGTCTCGCAAAGTCAGACTCAGCAACGTGGCAATCAACAGCTGGACAACGCGGTCGACATCAAGGTAGATAACTTCAGTATAGCAGCCAAGGGCAAAGAGCTGTTCACCAATGCCAGTTTACTAATAGCTCAAGGTAGACGCTATGGCTTAGTAGGACCTAATGGGTAAGCTCTTAACCAATGTTATACTTACTGTAATAAGATACAACATCATAGGTATTTCAGCTAAAGATGATATATCTGCTTTCTCATTGAGAATGTTACTTTTACTCAATTATAGTCATGGCAAAACTACTTTGCTCCGTCATATAGCCAACAGAGCCTTCAATATTCCACCTACCATAGATGTTTTATATTGCGAGCAAGAAGTTATAGCTGATGATACTCCCGCTGTAGAAGTTGTGCTCAGTGCTGATGTAAAGTGCAGAGAGCTTCAGGCAGAATGTAAAAAGCTGGAAGAACTGACTGAACAAGGAGACACTACTATACAGAATAGATTGCAAGAGGTGACTTTAATTTACTTCTGAAAATATTGAGGTTTTTCTCTGTGCTTTAAAGTCCAGTTATCTTCTACTTGGTCTTATTACAATAATAGATAAAAATTTATCTTTTAATTTGAAAACTTTTTATGATTATTAATGTAGTTATTGATGAAATAGTTTATTATATATCATAATATAGTTGTTAATAAAAAATTTAAGAGTTTATTAATATATTTATTAATAAAAAAGATACATATAGTTTATTTATACTTTCAGGTTTACGAAGAATTAAAGGCCATCGGCGCGGATTCGGCAGAGCCGCGAGCTAGGAGAATCTTGGCTGGTTTGGGGTTCAGTCGATCGATGCAAAACCGTGCGACAAAGAACTTCTCCGGTGGCTGGCGAATGCGCGTCTCACTTGCCAGAGCGCTCTTCCTGGAGCCCACGTTGTTGCTGTTAGACGAACCTACGAATCACTTGGATTTAAACGCAGTGATTTGGCTAGATAATTATTTGCAAGGCTGGAAGAAGACGCTGCTCATCGTATCGCACGACCAGAGCTTTTTGGACAACGTGTGCACGGACGTGATACATCTGGACCAGCAGAAGCTCTTCTACTACAAGGGCAACTACAGCATGTTCAAGAAGATGTACGAACAGAAGCGAAAGGAAATGATAAAGGCGTACGAGAAGCAAGAGAAACGATTGAAGGACCTCAAGGCAGCTGGTCAGAGCAAGAAGCAGGCTGAGAAGAAACAGAAGGAGGCACTCACTAGGAAACAAGAGAAGAATCGAACAAAAATGCAGAAGCAAGAGGAGGGCACTGGACCTCAGGAGTTGTTACAAAGACCAAAAGAATACGTGGTGAAGTTCAGCTTCCCGGACCCGCCGCCGCTTCAGCCTCCGATTCTCGGTCTTCAAAGTACATAGCGAATGTGAAAAATTCGATCACGTTATATCGCCTTTAATAAAATTTTACTTTAATGTTTAACTATTTTCAGATGTAACTTTCGCGTATGAAGGACAGAAGTCGCTGTTCATCGACGCAGACTTCGGTATAGATCTGAACTCCCGGATAGCCATAGTAGGTCCCAACGGCGTTGGAAAATCTACGTTCTTGAAATTGTTAATGAGTGACCTAGTGCCTCAGAAAGGAGATGTTACGAAGAATCATCGACTAGTATGTACAAAATCGCTTGTTAAATAATCAACTATCTGCTTCTCACGCTAAAGATTCAAGCTTTGGCTTTTTGGAATTTGGACTTTTTAAGGATCCTAACTACTCGCCGCGGAACTCTTGATTGATGACATGAGAAGTAGGAAATGCATGCCCAAAATTCTTGCGAAATACGTTAAAATAAAAAGATTAAAAAAAAATGACTTGCAGAGTCGAGAAGTCAGGAGCCTTAATCGTGAAATCTCTCAACGATTTCAATTATTATATAATTGCAAATTGCAATATGTACGTTACAGAGGATAGGAAGGTTCGATCAGCACTCGGGCGAGCACTTGACTGCGGAGGAGACGCCGACCGAGTATCTTATGCGACTGTTTGACCTGCCGTATGAGAAAGCGCGCAAACAGCTGGGCACCTTTGGTCTCAGTTCTCACGCGCACACTATTAAAATGAAGGATCTATCGGGTGGACAGAAAGCGCGAGTAGCGCTAGCCGAGCTGTGCCTGAATGCGCCGGACGTCGTGATCCTTGATGAGCCGACCAACAATCTAGACATCGAGTCCATCGACGCACTTGCCGATGCCATCAACGATTATAAGGGCGGCGTTATCATCGTCTCCCATGACGAACGGCTGATCCGCGATACCGAGTGCTGCCTTTACGTGATCGAGAACCAGCAGATCAACGCGATCGACGGCGACTTTGATGACTACAGGAAAGAATTGCTGGAGAGCCTGGGCGAGGTCATCAACAACCCCAGTATAGCTGCGAACGCGGCTGTTTTACAATGATCGTAGACCAATTAGATTACAATCTCACTGTGGCCTGTGACGTTCGAGAGCTGAACCGCGTTTGTCTTCGCAGAAACGACGAGCCTGCACATCCTGGAATCTTTAAACGCGAATTTTATATCATAGGTCGTGTTCGTAAAAATAAACTATGAAATGCAGAGTCGAGAGGGGATTATCTTTCCTGATCGATCTCACATTTTAAGGAATTGGCAATGATAGACCTTGATTGCTCGATCGCATAAATTCTTATCTTGTCAGGTAGAAACCTCTGACAATTCGGAAAAGTATTATGTTAAAATATGTCTCAAAACAACTTTTATTAATACATTGGAAATAAGAAATGTATAAATGGCTAAAGATACTAATAAAAATGCAATTAGTTGTTAGATTTGATTTCCGAGTTTGAGCCGCGTGGATTTTTCTTTGTCTCTGATTCCATATGTGTGTGTGTGTGTGTGTATGTGTGAGTGTGTGGAATCAGCAAAAGAAATCCACACAACTCAAATCCAAATCTAATATTCATGGACACCGCGAAAGCCTCAAACATCAAATGCAATCGATTGTTTTATTAAACGAACGATTGTTACATATTTCCAATATCAATAAAATAAATCTCCACACACGATGAAATGTTTCCTTTCTATTATTTCATATTCAACATATTTCAAGTGTTTAAGGTTCCTGGCTACTCGCCGCAGAACGATCGATGATGACGTCAGAAGCGAGAAAATGCATAACATGACATGCAACCTTTTTCTTTTTTTGATTTACATTTCCTCATTATTTAGTTACGTTAATTTCACAGTTATTGATTGTTAGAGCAAAAGAAGTGTTCAAAGTACTTTAGAAGTGATTAATCGACTGTATCAATTTTGGATATTTTTTTATTTTGACATATTTTACAGGAATTTTGGATATACATTTCCTCACTTCTGTTGTCATAAGTCAAGATAGCTGCAGCGTAATTAGAAAATTTAAAATGACGAGAAGAAGAAAGTTGTAAAGAGTCAAAACGAATATAGACAGTTTCAGCAAATACGTGTTTTGAAACTGCCGCCGCATTTGTCTCTCAGCGCCAAAACCATCGGCGAAACTTCTAGAAGATACGCGATAGTCGATATTTCGTACTGCTGAAATGTCATGCTATCAATTAGTTTGTGGTATCTGAGAACGAGAAGGTTTGAGGTGTCTACACAGAATCAAATTTGCGACTTTGTGGAATTCACGATACTTGAGAATTATCTAAAAATCAAGGATGTCGACGAAAGCTGAAGAAGTGAGTAGTTACCGTCGTTACAGTCAATTTTTATCTGCATTTCCATACATTTGAAATGGAACGGATGTATATGACTTTTTTGGAGGGAAAGAAGCAAGAGAAACAATTCAAACAAACTAATCTGACAGCAATTAGTTTTTCTTTTTTGCATATTTCATTAACTGCATGACTTGAAATGACTGGAAACTGCATGAGATTACAATTGCCTCTAACAAAACTTTTGACAATATTAAAAATTAAAATAAATTTTGTCTGGTTCATTACTTGCTTATCTTTTACACAATTGCTTTTACACTTTTATTCATCTAAATTTCTTTCCTTTGTTCAATATGTTGGTGAAATAAGTATTTCATCAAGTACAAAAAGAAAAGCATAAAATAACTAATGCTTCGTAGGTAAAACTGGACATTGAGGAATTCAACAACTTGCTGGAGAAGGCTTGCAGGCAACGAGTCAAGGATGTGCTGACACTGGAGATCAGAAAGTTACAGACAGAATTGGCGAGGTTGCTTGAGGAGAACAAGGATACATCTGTCAAGTCAACTACTGCATTGTCCAATTCTGCCCAGAAGCGTTATGAAGTGAAACTGAACAATTATGGATGGGATCAGACAAATACGACAGTGAAGATCTACATTACACTCAAGGATGTCCATCAGCTACCCAAGGAGTCAATCATCTGTAACTTTACCGACAAGTCCCTGGATCTACGCGTGCTTGCCTTGGATAATCGAGATTACCACTTGCCAATCAATAATCTATGCGCTGAGATAAACACAACGAAGAGTAATGTAAGAGTAAAGACTGATATGATTGTAGTATCATTGGTAAAGCAAGTTGCCAAGGACTGGTCACATGTAACATGGGTTGAGAAGAGAATCAAGGAGGCAAAGGCACCATCTGTGCCAGAGATGAGCGAGGACAACGATCCCGGCGCCAGTTTGATGAGTTTGATGAAGAAGATGTACCAGGATGGCGACGATGATATGAAGAAGACAATAGCGAAAGCGTGGACCGAGAGCCAACAAAAGAATGCGGGTCTGATGGATTTGTAACTTCCTGCGAATGAAGCTTCGGATTTTAATCTTTAGCCAATGTGCATTTCGTGATCCTTTTATATTCTCGTTAAAACTCTTGCGTCTTTGCCGCAGACTATCTTGACTTATGACGTCAGAAATGGAAAAATCCATGCCCAAAATTCCTATAAAGTAGAGATAAAAAGTAGAGATAAAGTTGAAATAAAAAGATATATCCAAAGGATGACACTCTTGCAATAGATTGAACATATCTCTAGAATATTCTGAACACTTTCCTTTTACTCTAATAAATAACAATAAATAGCTGTAAAATTAACATAACAAAATCATTAGAAGAAATAAGTTATAAAGAACTTACAAAAAAGCTTACATATTATGTTAATTTTAGGGTTATGTTTTTATTGTTGAGACAAATGGAAATTTTTGGAATATTTTACAGATGTGCCCAGTCGATCTTCAGGGTCAATAAACGTATTCTTTTATTTCAGCGTATGTTTTGCAAGAATTTTGCGTTTTCTCACTTCTGACGTCATCAATCAACAGTCTCGCGGCGAGGGACCACAAGAGCCTTAAATATAAAATGTGCATCGAAGATAATAATCAAAACGCGTACATACGGACAGTGTTGGACATCAATCGATAAAAATTTTTCTCCACTAAAATAGTCGGCAAGCCAAGAATCAAGATTAATCGATCGTCATATATAAAGTCAAATAGTTCCATCGATTGATGAAACTATTAATCAAACTTTGGTGTGATTGATTATATAGGGTATCCTAGAACAATCTACGAAGCTCTCGTGATAACGTAGAGCAGGTCGAGATGAACGTAAAAGTCCTATACATTTTTGCAATATTCGTAATAATAACAAAAAAATTAATTACGAAAGATTAAGGAAAAACGTGTGTTGAATGGTAGAGAACGAAACGCTCGAGTCACAGCGCGGCCTAATAATATAGCGTGCGGATGTCCACGTGTGGCGATTGGAAAAACAACGAACTACTGCCTATGCTTATATCGTTGCACTCCTACGTCTTGGTGCACCGCGTCGAGGCAAGATGTAGGAGCGCAGCGATATAAGAATAGGCAGTGGTGCATTGTTCTTCCAATCGCGCCGACATCCGCGCGCTATATTACTGGGCCGCGCTGTGATTCGAGCGTCCCGTCCTCTACTATTCAGCACACGCTTTTCCTTAATCTTTCGCAATTAATTTCTTACTTATTATTACGAATATCGCAAAACGGACTTTTATACTCACTTCGACCTGCTCTACATCCTCACGAGAGCTTCATAGATTATTCTGGGATACCCTGCATACTAATTAATAATTAATTTCATCGATGGATTTAACTGATGGTTACATATATAACGATTAATTATATTTATTACTTCAGCTTTATATATGCTAAGAAGAAATTTGATTTTTATTGCTGAACTACACGTACATCCAATCATCTTCTACATCTACTTAAATATCTAATGTAACAGTAGTTACATTGCCTCTCTCAATTTAACTTTATTCTCGTCTATTAAATTCACTTGTAATATACCATCTATAACTTACATGCATCTCTCTTTTTTTTCTTAAAAATATTCTCCTTACTCATACTTAAACTTAACTCTTACTTATCTCCAGAATTTCCACTTTTCCTTTATACCTTTATTTTTCCCTTATACACCTCTTCTCCATTCCTAACTTCTTTTCTTTATCTCTATGATATTTATCAACATAATGATTCATATTTATTATCTTATATTTTTTTCCACAAAATATATATATTTTATTTTTTCTTCTATCCAGTGTATATTCGACTATTTCATATATTTCTGCATCTCAGTAACGATTGATTAATTTTGATATTTGATTTGCCAGTTATTTCAGTAAAAGAAAATTTTCATTGATTAATATCCAACATTGCAATACTTCTTGAGTGCGATTCAAGTGAATAACGGTAATGTTCGCGTGTATTTATCTCTTTGCTGGAAAAATAGACCAAATAGAACTATTATTGAAAAGTGCTCTTTGTGTTCTCAAACTGAATCATAGAAATTATAGCAATTAATGATCAACAATCTGTACGATTTTAATTTTATTTTTTTCCTGGAAATTCTTCTGCATGCTTATTTCGTTTGTCGCGATGTGTCGTCAGTAATAAAAACCGGAGAAGTCAGTAATAAAATACAGCAAGCTTAACTAAAATTTCGATATCTTTATTATCTGTTCTTATACATCTCGCAAACCATGTATTGATTTACATCGCAATTAATTATATGTTACCTTCTCGTGGTCGATAATGTACAAAACATTTTTTAGTAAACTGAATCAGTTGTGAAATTTTGTTTCGCAGGATAAATAAAAAGATTTTACGTGACGTTCGATATAATAATTCGTTGGATCCCTCTTACATGATTTTTCCTCTCTTTTCTTTCTCTCTCGGTTGTCGATCAGCGTTCGCTGAGCGTTCGTTCAATCAGATATGACGATTAATCGATATTACGCAACAAATACACAGCTCGAGTACAAAATTCTTTGGAACGAGCTAACACTAGCTTTACCTCTCTCACTTTGACTTTTTTTTTTCACTATATGACTAATACAATCGATACACTTGCATTCAAGAAATCACGAATCTACAATTTGGTTTTCTTTCATTCGAAGTAAGACTGGAATGATGCACTTGCACTATAAACTATATCGTGTGATCAGCTGCTGCTCTTTGCAAATTGGCACTGACATGATAAATCTCTGCAGAATGACATTGCCGTGAATCTCCGTTTACAGACACACAGATGCGATTCGCGACGAATACATCTCTTGCAAAACTAAGCAACACGTGCCAACATCACATTTATAATTAAACTTATGTTATTTTCCATGACACAGACGCTAAAGTCATGTAAAGTCGAAGAAACGAAAAAGTTTTCTTCGATTTTCTTCCTTTCAGACTGGAAAACCTTTCCATACTTAAGATCTCTATTTCATGCATAAAGTATTACTCGATTATGCTAGAGATTGTATATTAACGCAGCGCTGATGCTCGGCTGAAAATTGTGCGTTTTTATTCATCAGGAAGATAACACTAATATGTTATAACGATGTCCTTTCAAGAATATTTCAAATGGTTACAACGATTGCACCTAACGTGATCGTGAAGAACTAACGTGATCAAAAATTCCGATTATCACTTTGTGGATTATGTACTTCCTCTATTCGAATGTGTTGGCTTTCACTCTTTCAGTGTGTGAATAAATTATCGTTATCTCGGCCGAGTTCTTATCTGTCGCCAACTAATAATGGTACAATTCAACAGAGGCGAAATTGAGTATCTCAGTTATCGCTGCAATCACCAGACTCGACGATTTTAATTGTAATATAAAAATATCAGCGATAAATCCATATCACCATGGCAAAGTATATTTTATGACAATACGGTAACACATAATAGTAGCCGTAACAAGAGAAGTGTATCTTACAAGATCTAAAAATGGCACTTAACAGATACATACACGTATTGAAACATTTATCCCGATAGTAATACAACTTGTATCTCGTGACACAACTCGAGATCACATTGCAATGTTGATCACACTGTGTGAGTAAACCAAAATATCTCGGTGTGTCGCAACTACGCGTCTATTGGTCTATTTTTTGTAGTTAAACTGGCTGTACTAGTTTACACTAGTTCTCTTTCTCTTTTTTTTACATCAAGTCACAGTTATATATTTGTTTTCTTTTAAGTTTCGAAAGTGAGCATTAGTTCAGCTGCAAAAAACAGACCTTATAAAATAGATACATGTAAACATATCTTTGACTTAGTCTTTTTTTTGACTTGTTATTTTTTCAAACCACTCATGCGAATGATATACCGAGATTCGCGTGGTTTTCGTATCGTAAATAATTGCTATTTCAAAACATTCACGAAATACATATTCATATTCGTGTGATACACTCAGCGATATTTCATTTAAATATCTCGATTTACAGATTATGAGAAGCTATGGAAAGTCAATGCGATAGACTAGCTTACTATCTACTTAACCACCCTGCGCGATAACCCGAGTTCGGGGTAAGCGAGTCATACCAATTCGCTTGACCTTGAATCAGACCCGGGATAACGTTTCCTTTTATAACTTAATAATCAGACGTCATATTAACATATCAAAATACATGTACATTAAAGCTAAAGAACTGTACTTTTTAGTAATTAATTGTACTAGTAGTAAAATTACTTTTTGCAACGTCGTGCTCACTTAAACATCATAAAAAAATAATTTTTTAAAACTTACAAGAAAATGTAGGAAACAATATCTAGTTACGTATATTAAATAAGAATAATATTTTGGGGGTTTTCGAGGATACTGATGTCAAAAATTTGTAACCGTTTGAGAAAATGTCTATGTAACCTATTGTACAGTTTTTCTAAGGCTGCGACAATTTTACTAAATTTAAAAAATAATTTCAAGTTACTACAATTAAAATTATCATATTACTGTAGTTTATAATAAAAATATATTTCTTTACTAAAAAACTCAGAAATTGTTTTACAAAAATATTGTTAAACACAATATTTCGGAATTTATCAGTTAAGTCCACTATTTTGCATTTATTATTTTGAATTTTGCGAAACTGACTAAAAATTTGAGATCAACAGGTCCAAAAACTATAAATAAAAAATAATAGTAAATATTTTACTTTACAGGAAAAATTCAACCATTTTGATACTGATTTGGAAAAGAAAATGTAAACGCAGAGTGGTTAAATAAACATAAATCTTCTCCTATCTTACTATTGAATAACGCCTTCAAATTGTATTACGTTTGTAATTCGGTAGAAAATATGCGAGAAATTTGATAGACGTAATTATAAACATTGCAATACATAGTACGAGAATTTTTAATCGATTAAATTATTTGAGAAATTCTTACGTTTTATAATATAAATAAATATTATTTTGGTAGGATACGTGATTTTGAGCAAACATCTATAATTATACATAAAACATTTTTGTTTTTCTTCATCATCAAGAAAGAAAAAATGCATTGATTAATAGTATATCATATTCTAATAATAATATCGGAAGAAAAATGGCATGAACATAGAAATAAAATATAAAAGATAGTGTGTGACGAAACTGTCACACTTCGTTCTGACTACGTCAAAAAGATAATTATATAATTAAATGCAATGTTTGCGCAGAGTGTCCGAGAACTAAGATCCAGTGTTAAGAGACTCATGTCATAACACTTCTTTATATTGCAATTGCAACCGAGCTAAGATTTATATATATGTATATAGGGTGTCCCACAATTGGTAGAACACCCGTTAAAGGTAGGTAAAGGGTGAAATTTGGAACCGAAAGTTCCTCTTCTATTTTTGGATCTAACAATTAGTTAATGAGATATTAATTAATTAAGTCCAATCTCTTAGCACCCCACGTGAGCGCTTAGGGTCATAGGGCGCCATGGGTCAGGGGCTTGTTCGTTTTTCTCCTCTTTTTTATATCACAGAGGAATAAATATGCATGAGTGAGTGAGTGGGTGTATGTGTGAATGGGTGCCTAATCGAGGCTAGGAAGGTGGTAAGTTTTCAATGTGTAGAGGTAATGTGTACGGATGTTTTTTATGAGTGTATGGATAATTTGAATCTCTTTAGTGCGAATGGGCGGAGTGATTGCACTTTATGTGTCGGAGGAGAAGGACATATGTGGTATGTTTTCTTCGAGTGCGTGGGTGACTTGAATGTTTTCTGCACGTCGGTGGTTGAGTATCGTGAATGATTTTAGTATGTGTGTACAAAAAAGGGAAAAAAACGGACAAGCAGGGCCCTTAATGAATCCACGGCGTCCTATGTCCCTGATCGCTCACTTAGAGCGCTAAGGGATTGGCAGACTTAATTAATTAATATCTCATTAACTAATTGTCGGATCCAAAAATGGAAGAGGAACTTTCAGTTCCAAATTGCATCCCCTACCTACTCCTAACGGGTTTTCTATCAGTTATCATCTTGTACATTGTAGCGCAACGTGACCACACTTTAGAGATAAAACATATTATCTTTTCATGTGATATTTTTCGTATTATCTTCAATGATATACTGAAAGACAACAATCACTTGACAACCGACGAGCGATTAAAATTGGGAAGTAACGTCGTTTTAAAGAATTGTCTAGAGAATGAGATAAAATAAATGTAAAAATTGTATCTTTCTCTTTTTTTTCATATTATTCTTCTTTCTTTCATTTCACTAGATAGTTAAATTAAAGTGCACTTCCGTAATCGCCAAATAGTTACGCGTATCTTAATCCTTACGGATAACCGTATGGAAACAAGTGGAAGCATAATTAACAAACGGGTGGGAGTGTACAAGCGTACATTACATAGCAAAATATATTTAATAATGTAATTTAGTACGATTCGTTATTAAGTATAAACGCTAACAATGTTCCCACAATTTATAAAATGCACTCTAACGAGAATCATATTTACAATTCGTAAATCTATGAGAAATCATGACGTACGTGTTAAAAAATTCTTCTTTCTCTCTATTATCTCACTATTCGCCCCTAACGGTAAAGTGCTGTATACTTTACAGTACGTTGTTTCCCGACGACCCTCACGTAAATTACACCTAATTAATTAAGAATGTTATTTATAATTTTTGTTAGTGACGTTTATGACTCTTTCATTTGACTATACGTATTTACTGCATCACGCACACACATGTATACACACACATACATATACACACAAGCGTATATGTCTCTTTAGTTTGGAAATTTAACATAGTTCAGCGAGGAATTTGTACGTCAAGGAAAAGCTTATCCGTAGCTCGATCTGAAGCTTGTATATCAAAAGATAAAACTACCACTCAGCAGATAATGATTACAAGACAAAAATCGTCTAAATCTTCCTCTAACGTGATTCTCAATAACAATAAATAATTAATGTATAAAATTTTTCACACCGAAGTTGCCGATTCACGGGCACGCAACGGGGATATTAATAATAATAATTGAAGGAATAATAGTAATAGCAACATAAGAAAGAATATCAGAAACGATTAGTAGACTTAGTCTTTGGTTGCCGCATAGAGACTTACTCGCTAACATCGTGTGTATCCTCTCATGAGACGAAGTTGCCGGTGGTTACAGTTTGTCGGGTTACAATCGTTCGGTACGCGGCTTACCGCGCGAGGTACGTTTGATTCTCCAGATTCACGGCGTGGAACACTTCGCACATGGCATTGCGTGTCCTCTGTATCAGCTCCTCTACGTCATTTGTGCCGAGTCCCTCAGTGGAAATGGGTGGCAACGTCGTCACGAGAATGCGTCCTTTAATTTATGTTATATTTTTATTTTACATTATGTGTCTTCAAACAGCACAAAACGTCTCAGAATCATCCTGAATGTGTCTGCGATGTTCCAAGTATGGGGGTATATTCAGACTCCCGGAATACATTCAGAATAATCTCGCAACGTTTGGTACTTTCTAGGTAACTGGCCAGAACTTGTAACGATATCTTTCATTGTGATCTTACCCTTTACGCAAAGCGTTTAGCTGTTAGGTTTTTTTTTTCTTATTTTGAACGAATACAATTGAGATATCTTTTTTGCGAAAATTTTTTTTTTATTTAGCAAGAAGCATCATGATCAATTCATATCAATTTAGTTCTAATATTGAATATGTGTCTCTCGATTTCAAGTAAAATTTCTGTTAACTGTTAAATTAATCAAGAACAAAATTTCGTTATCATAATTTACATACATACCTACACAACAATATGATGTCTTAAAGACATCTTAAAATATTTTAGACATTTCAAAAAGTTGTTATAGAAACATCTTTATGACGATTTTAAGACGTCCTATGTCTCGATTTAAGACGTTTTAAAGACATTATTTAAAGACATCTTTAAGATATTGTTTTAAGATATCTTAAAAACGTCTTGCTTAAGACTTCTTTAAGATCTTTATATATATATATATGCTTCTATAAATTTCTATAATTTAGTTAATATACATTAAAAAAAGGAGAATGTTTTATTTATTATCATATATTTCTTTCAGTCAATTGAGAATTATGATTAGAGTGTAAAGATTTGCTCATCTGTCCTATTCAGAGTTGGGATTAGATATCGATGACAGCTAGTAATGATAATGTTAGGCATATCGTATACTTTAAACTTTAAAACATATGCTACTGAATAGCAATATTTGGTAGGATATGAAACCATAAACAATACGATGTTATTAACGATACGATGCCATCAACGATACGATGCCATCAACATTGGCTAGCTGCCATCGATACGTAATCCTGAACAGGACGGATAAGCAAATCCACAGTCTAACTATTATTCTCAAGAATCATTTTATAGATGAAAGGACATTTCCACTCGATACTGCAACTTAAAAGTAAATTGACCAAATTATAAAAATTTACTTTAAAAACTTCTTTAAAATTTTGACATATACGACGCTCGCAAAAACTAGGAGGTTGTACCTCAACCATATATACTCTTCAAAATATCATTCAACGAACGTGATAAAGACGTTTGAAATAAGATGTTTTTAAGATGTCCTTTGGAAATGTCAAAGACATTTGAAATAAAACGCCTTTTAACCCTTATTGTGCACTGTGGACTCAAATAGACCCCAGAAAAAAAAATAAATAAAATAAAGTAAATCTAAAAAAAAATATAATATAATAAAATAAATCTATATATTTTGAAAACACTGCTTTTTTCACAAAAATCCTAATTTTGATATTCAAAATAAATACCTTTTTTGAAAATCCTGCCTTGTACTAATTTTTATATATTGTACTAATTTTTTCCTTAAAGAGATATGTCTTGAGAGTAATTTCTTAAAATTTTACTTTGAAATATAAAAAATTATGTCAGTTATGATTTTTGGAGCAAATAAAGTTATTTTTCGCGTTTTTTGGGCTTTCCAATTTTTTTCTTCATTTAAAATCAAATTTCGTCTAGAAAAATTATTTCGTCATGTAAAAAGATGTTTGAAATATATCCTGGAATTTTTTCAAATAAAACGAATAATTTTATTGCAGCATTTTTGTAGTTGGAGTCGCAATTATTCCGTCATATAAAAAGATATTTGAAATATATCCTGGAATTTTTTCAAATAAAAAACGAATAATTTTATTGCAGCATTTTTGTAGTTGGAGTCGCAATTATTCCGTCATATAAAAAGATATTTGAAATATATCCTGGAATTTTTTCAAATAAAAAACGAATAATTTTATTGCAGCATTTTTGTAGTTGGAGTCGCAATTATTCCGTCATATAAAAAGATATTTGAAATATATCCTGGAATTTTTTCAAATAAAAAACGAATAATTTTATTGCAGCATTTTTGTAGCTGGAGTCGCAAAAGACCCCAGTGTGCCCATTATGTGATTCTACTGAAATGTGCACAATAAGGGTTAAACATACGTGTTGTGTGGGTACTCAGAGAATTTAAAAAGAATTCAGTCGTATGTCACCAATTCTGAGTTCATTTTTACTCGTAGATGCAAAATGAATTCTTTTCACTGATCTCTAAAAAATTCTTTTTACATCTGAAAATGAACTCAGTATTGGTGACATACGACTGAATTCTTTTTAAATTCTCTGTGCTATTTGGGTAGTTACAAAAAATTCTACATGCTTACATACATGAGGCTTGAACATTAATTTAAACAAAGGATTTTTCGAACAAATCCATTTTTTCAAGTTATTGTTTGGCAAAAAATTAAAGATATCATAATTTCTTACCAGAATCAAATCTCTTCTCTTCCGCGGATAAGAAATAATAGGAGGAAAATACGACCGGTAGAATTGGTAACTGCGACTTGATAGCCATGTGGAAGGCACCTTTCTTAAATGGATGAATTTCACCAGTGTTGTGCCTAGTTCCCTCGGGAAATATCCACACTTTTACCTGAGAAACACTACGATCATGTAAATGACGAAAAACAGAATCACGACAATCGACGACTCGTCGATGATTCTCTTCGGCTTCAGTAAACTAAACTCTCGTCCAATCTTGCTTTAAATCCTAAGCAAATTAACTAACCATAGTTAATTATTTTTATATAATCGAATAATCGACTGTGGTTAGTTAATTTTGTTTACGACGTAAAATAAGGTTGTGGATCATGGCTGCTATTCCGTTATCATGGTTTCGACAGTTGTCGGATCAGTAGGCGTCATTGCGTATTTTTCCACGGTATAAAAAAGCTGCGCAATGACGCCTACCGATCCGACAGTTGTCGGTAAAAGCGTGTACGGAATAGTACATGTCTAGGGCTCTTTATAAATGTTAATTTAACACGTTTGCTACCACGATTTATACTTTTGACATAAATCACCTCGTTTTCTGTTCTTTTATATAATTATGTAAAACAGATTTAAATTTTATAATGCGGACATAGAAAAGAAATGTTTGTTACCATACATATGTAATAGCAAACGTGATTAATCATTCGATATGATTAATCTAATCTAATCACTCGGTATTTATATTTGTAAAAGTCATTCAATTAAAAATTAGAATTCAAAAAATTTGAAATATTTTAGTGTTCCTACTATCTCTCTTTCTTTGCAAACAATGAAAACTAAGATAAAGTGCTTCTCTAGTGACTTCATTACAGACAGTAACGCAAGACAAACGCCATTTACATAAGTAAAAGAAGAGAAAATAGCATACCTTGTTATCTTTAAGTTTTTGCGTGGCATTATTGAGAACGGATCGCGCAGATTCGGAATAACCCCTATCAATAAAGATCATACCACATAACCACGCGGCAAGACCAACCGGCCACGCGTAAAAGATTTCTTTCTTGCCCACGACGGTGCACTTTTCTATTACTGGCCATAACTCGAACATCCCTAATACATCCAGCGAACTCTGATGGTTCGACACTATTATGCAGGCACTATCATTCTCTAGATGTTCTCTTCCTCGCAGCTCCCAGCGCAGTCCTACTAGAGGGCTGATGTATTGGCAAAACCACGATCCCAGCCTGTAAAAGTAAGTTTCACTTGGCATTGATACAATTTAATAGATGCAAGCGCGAAAATCCGATTTCTTAAGTATGCCTTACGAATACGAATTTGCCTTTCACGCGAGTAGAAAGTATCTTTCCACTTATGTGAAATTCAAGTCCATACTTGCATTTTTGTATAAAGATATCGTTAAAAAATCACTCGTATAAATTTATGTATTTGTTTTTTGAAAATTGATTTTTGATTTGTGTTTTGGACATTTCGATTATTATAAAATTGTTTACATGTATATGAATTTCGCATAACGTAAAAGATTGTTTAAGAAACTGTGATATAATCTATATAAAGATATTGTGTATTAAATTATGTATAAAATTGTGTATTTTCGGACATCTTTCTTTAAGTAGTTTTTTTAACACCGATTTGATAACGTCAGTAAATTTGCAATTGATAATGTTCTTTGTTACGAAACAAAGTAATTTTCACACAATGACCTATTTATCAATTAAAGATTACAAAAGCACGATATATTGAAAACAACTTTCAATTCGTATTGATTATGTTCAGCAGAAGAAATGTTTTGCGTTATCCTTGCCCTGTTACTTATTGTTCGTAAGATTTTTTGCTGAACGACACTTAGCTTATTTATGTTTTTCCAACATGTGCGGCCCAGCATATTGAAAGTATGTTAGGAAAAATGGCTGATTCACGTTTAGAAGAACATTTTACAACATTTGCAAAACCAACACAGTCAACAGCGGAAAGCGCTTACTAAATTGTTTCTCTGCTACACGCAATCATCGAAAATACTACACAACAAAGTTATGTAAAGTTATTTAACGTCTAATGGTAGTGTCTATCTCGTTCCTCATTTCTCTTTAATCGTTTCATTCTTTTATTGTGCTGTATCTTTGAGTGAACATTCTTACGAGAGCATCGTTACGTTAGCGTTCTGAAGATGTGTATTCATTATTCAAAGAGGTCCAACAGTCGCTAAGAGATTGAAGTTCGCAAGCACACGAATCATTTCGTCTAATTATAGACGATCGTCCTCAATAAAAAGTGATTAAAATAAAATAATAAGAATGTTTAGAAGAAATAATAAATATTTTTCACGATGGCGAACATATTTTTTATTGTTTTCTACCGATTAATCGTAGCATTTTTAATGCGTAAATTATGTAAATTTTTAACGTGTTTTTCTTTATGAATTTTTATATATCATACGCAAGAACATGAATCAGAATTTGCGTATCAGCATCACGATTGCGCTTAAAAAACAGAATCACTTAAACAAATGACCAAAAACGCGAGAACTTTATACTTCGTACATTTCGTAAGTCGTTTTATAACAAAAGGCGTTTCATAACAATAGAACTTAATCGATTTCGATTAAGGTGACTTGGAGCGAAGCCGTATGCACTTGTCTTGATAGTCTGATAAAAATATCTGACGCATGTCGCTAAATGTGAGATAACGAAATTATATGTTTGAGAAAATTGTTTCGTTTTTTTTTTTTTTTTTTAAGAAACGGGTATCGATATTACGGAAATACAGCGATGTATTGATGCTTTCAAAGCACCATGAATACTGCGCAATTAATCAGCGTTCATTAATTACTCCCACGAATCTCGGTAATTTTCTTTCTTTGCTATAACGCATTTTACTCACGACAAACGTTAAGTGTGACGCAAATAGCTTTTGAACGTTTATTATTATTTGGCGTTGACATTATCTTTATAGGAAGCGATTTATTCGCGCGCGACGGCTCAGAGAGACACAACAAGTTTAAATTCTCTTGCAAAGCGGCGCAGCGACAATCGCCACCGCGCACACGTTCGCAACAACCACCGCAAGTGCTCGCGCCACCATCACTACCACACCACCACCCACTAAACAACCAACGAGCACCGGTCAATAAATTCCCGCATCGTCCCGGCTCTCGATTCTCGTGTTCGTCGCCGTCACCGCGACGTTTGTCAAGTTAACACGAGAGAAACAACGAAGGGGACGGACTCGCGACGGGAGAATCAGAACATCAACATGGGCAACACGAGCGAATGTGCGAATGTGCGAACGTGCGAGCAAGCGAGCGAGCAAACGAACATATGTACATACGGACGAACGTATGGGCAAGCACGCACAATAATATCGATCGCGCGCGCGACTACTACTCTACTCCTACTATAATACTAACACGAAATTTTTGACGTTGCGGGGCCGCATCGCGATGATTGGCATGACCATAGTCGCGACAAATAACACGCCGAAGCAATATACGAAGAACTTGAAGTAGTAGCGAAACGTGCGACTGGTCTCGTAGAGGAACGGCAGCACGAGGATGCAGCAGACGAGGATCACCTCGAAGCACGAGGCCATCTTCTTCCGAGAAGATGGGCGCGTTGCTCCGAGCAAATTTGTGTGTACTTTCTTCCCCTTTTCTGCTATCCTTTCTTCGCTCTTGGTTACTCCCTTATTTTTCGTTTCTCCCTTTCTCTTCCACAAGTAGTTTCCTTGCCGTCTCTATGACAGTACCACTTGCGGCAGGTGAACGTTCCTTGTGGTCACACGGTTCGACTCTTTTTTTCTTTAGCTGACGTTCAGGGCGAACAGTGTGCGACGATGCAACGCTGGCAGAAGGTCCGTGTGCTCAGTGTGCCTCCTCAAGCTTTCAGGTACGCAACCACCACACAACACAACGCTACGCGCTGCTGCGCAGGCGGACACTGCTGTTAACGGTGGCGACCGAGCGCTTTAATACCACCGTGGCTGCCATATGGAGGGAGAGACGTTCTCTTCTCAACGACTTACCCCTACTTATTAATCGGTCGGTTATCCACGGCGTACGATCCTATAAAGAAAGATCGTAATATGATTTATTGCTTCTTCTAGTTTATTGTTAAAATTTCATGTCATATAAGAAGATAAGCTTGCCTAATTACGTTTACTTAAAATTTTATGAATCTAATCTTTATTTTATTTAATTTTGATTTAAAGACAATTTATTATCTATGAATTCTTCCACGTAAAAATTTTGTTTATTGTGTATAAACTAGTTTAGTTTGTTCCGATAATGTAAGATATATCAAATAATGAACATATAATTATAAAATAATTAATGTAAAATATATCAATTAATATAAGAATATTCTCAAACAATACGAGTTTACATATGTCTCAAGGATATCTAAGAGACATTTGAAAAAAATATATCTTTTTAGACTTTTTATGTTGCTTGGTATGAGAAAATGCAGACAAAAATTTATGTAAAATGAAATTTATGTCATTGTTTCTAATTAATATAAAATTACTTTTCTATCTTATGTACTATTTAAGAATTTATTTGTATTATTTGATGGTAAGAAGCGCACCGATGAACGACGACCTCTTAGCTTAAATGACGACTGCAATAATGTTATCGTGGGCGTAAAATACATCTTGATGGGAAGCGTTTCCGTCTTCTCCGATTAAAGGCCATAAATCTGATTTTATCTGAAGATGTCATCTGGTTCTACAAAAAAATTTATCTGAAGATGTCATCTGGTTCTACAAAAAAAGATTATGATATGTGTCTTATTGATTCTCTTTGTTCTCTACAAATCTGACTTCAACAATTATGTGAGTAAGAAAATATGCACCTATAATTATGCTTGTTCTTTTAAATTTTCTATATCTAGTCTCTACTTTATTTAATCTCTATTTAAATCTCATTGGCTGTATTGCATGAATTTCTGAAATAGAAACTTTATTTATTGCCAAAGGTAATAGCCAAATGACATGGTTTGTCGCCAGACAAAATAGGTAATGCACAAGACAATCAAATAACATTAGAACATAATATAAAGACATTAGAACATAATACATTAGAAAATAATATAAAATATATATTAAATAATATTAAAAAAAATAAAATCGCATGTAAGATATATCAAATATCAACATATCTAAACGACAGGTCTAAATATTTTTAAAAATTCAAAAAAATCTTTTTAAACATTTCTAAGATGTCTTTTAGAACATTCGAGTTGTTTGAGAGTATAAAAATGCGAGCAGAAATTTACATGAAATAAAATTTATGCCACTATCTCTAATGGGCATAAAATCAAGATGTTTTTATTTATTTATCTTAGATAATGCTTAATTAGTGCCTGAAGATTATTTAATTTGATAGCGAAATTCGCATCAATAAATTAACAAATGACAAACTTTCGGTGTGATGACTGCAGTGACACTATTGTGGGTATAAAATACATCTTGATAAGAAGTATTATCGTCTCTTCCAATTAAAGACCATGGACCTGACATGATCTGAATACTTTGTCAACCCAATGCCTTTATTCATATAATGGAATTAACGTCAGTCTTTATTTTCGTTACAGTCCTTGAGATAGTTCTACGATGCAATGAAAGCAATAGAAGCAAATTCCAATTACAAAACCTATAGATAAAAAAGTATATGAATAAAGAGTATCCAGAATTGTTCTAGATTAAGTTATCTGAACACTTCAGTCTTATCTATTTAATTAAAGCTGTAGTTGATTTTTCTATAATAAAAATATATAAGATTTCAAAATTGATAATTATTATAATTATCCCAGGGAATTTATATAATAAATAAATAAATAAATATATATATATACACACACACACACACACACATATGTATGTGTGTGTGTGTGTGTGTGTGTGTGTGTGTGTGTGTGTGTGTGTGTGTGTGTGTGTGTGTGTATATATATAGAATAATATATATATAATAAATATATATAGAATTTATATAATAAAATGATATTTTATGCAGAATATTCCACTTCCATGAAATATTTTCTAAGGTTGCGTTCCAAGATATTTGTTTAGAAAGTTTTACTACTGAAAATCTATAGTTCATGTTACATATACTGGGTTTTCAATAAAATTTTCCTCAAGAGCATTTTGGAATGCAAATTCTTAGTTGTATGTTTTTTAGCCTAATATACCCAGATTATGTTTCAAGATCAGTCCGAGCATTGAAAATCTATAGTGTATGTAATATGGACTATATAGATTTTCAGTACTAATAGAAAATATTAGTACACACACAGTAAACATTAGCAAACAGTAACATTATTATATTAATGTTATAATTTTCCACTCAGCATTGTAAATGTAATATAACATATATACAACACAATTACATAGTTGAGAGAAAAATTATAACATTAATGTAATGTTATTGTTAGTATTTACTAGATAAAGCATGCATTGTTTATAAATGTACTAAGTAAAATACAAACGAAATTAAACAAATAAGAAAACTTAAAAACAACATGTATATCCCAGTAAATATCAAATAACAATAAGACCACATCAATAAGTTCCAAATTAACAACATAAATTCGATACATGTATATATCTCGCTCAATAGATAAATTATATATAGCTATATTACATATCAATATTATTATTACTTGATAGTTACTGGAGTATAGGAGAATATGTTTGTACCTTAGAAAGGAAAACAACACAAAAGGAACAACGTAAGTATAAAGTATATAGTCGGAAAGAAGACGGAAACGTTATCTCTTCAATTTCAGAGAAAAAGATATTTCAACCATTTCAACATCTCAATATCCGTTTCCGGTTCGTAATGCGGCGGTGCTGCACGAAAAGCTTGGTCCATTTAACTATATCAATTACGCTAATTGTCTCTCTTCTAACTCACAGCAACATATGCATTTATCTCGCGTGCAAAAAGTATAGCACAGCGCAAAAAGAAGAAACAGATCTTAAATTATTTTCTCTTTTGATATATTCCCTACTATTTCCTTTTCTCTTTCCTTCTTCAAAGCGAGTACATATATTCGTTTCCTTTCGAGTGTAAAAAATGCATAGGATACAGCAGCTGATTCTATCGGAATACATGGTCAGCAGCAACTCCGGAATATACTATAACGAAGCGCGGTTCCATTCGAAAACTGATGGAGAGGTTATGCATTTAAAAGAACCACGTACGTGTGGCATTAATGATTGAATAGTCGAATTTCTTTGGTTGATGCGTATCCTCTCCATGTTTGAATGGATCTCAGTAAGGACTAGTTGTTCCAATTTTTTGGTAAATTAACAGATAGTTAAATCATATATCTGTCTTTGTCTAAATTGGAGGAAAAACAAAGACATACGATTTAACTATTAGTTAACTTACTAAGATGTTGGAACAATCGGTCCTTAGGACCGGTTTCACCAACTCCAGTTACGGTCAAATCTGACTGATGGTATCAGGGTTCTAACTAAAAATTCTAATAGATAAGAATGACAAAATACTCCATTAGTTGAAATCCTGATACCGTCAGTCAGATTTTGACCGTAACCGGAGTTGGTGAAACCGGCGTTAGTAGGGCAATTTCAAGTCGGCATACCCATGATCATCTTCATCATCATTTTCTTAAAATACTTCTATTTTACTATATGAATAAATCCTATGTCAAATAAATCTTGTTCCCAATATTTTTTAAATTCTGATGTAATGTCGGTCTATATATTAAATATGTTATCTATTATAGTTGTTATAGTATGCTTTATTATATCTCCAGACAGGATAAGATCTCCAAAGGATATTCTCAAGATATAAGGACATTCTTAGAATATCTTTAGGATGTCCTGTGTAGATCTGTGCTGTTTGAGTCATACAATTCTATTCCTTTTTCACTTACAGGCGTTATAGTAAAATATTTGTAATTTGGAGGAATAAAATAATTAATATATTAAGAACATTCGCAGAATTTACTCACGTGCAACATTATACTTTGTTTATAAAATAATTATTTATAAAATAATAATTCATATATTTAATAATAAATAATAATTCAGATTATTTTACAGAATGGTCTTTCGCATTACAACGTTGTTATACTTCTGCTTATACTTCGTATTGAAAATTCACATTTGCATAATTTATGTACTAATTTTCTAGATTACACAATTACTATATCTTGTAAACATTATAAATCATCAATATAAAACACTTATGTATTAGTTTTCTAGATTACACAATTACTATATTTCGTAAACATCATAAATCATCAATATAAAACACATGATAAAGAAATAATAATTGCTATGTGGTTATTTTTATATTATACAACTGTTACATAAAAGAATGATGTACGTACCCAAACAGCAAAAGATCTTCAAAGGATATCTTGGAGACTTATGTGGACATTTAGAAATCATTAAAATGTCTTTGGGACATCTTTGAAAGATTGTGCTATCTGAGTATATATAATATAATAAAAGTAGAATATGCTATATATACTTGAAAATCTATCTATATAATAAAACAATAAATTCTTACGCTTTAATATAACTAATTATGAACACATTAATATATATAGAATATAAATGATTTATTTTAACTCAATAATAAACTTATAACAGATACTCCTTCATGTAAGGATTACAAAGGATAAATTCTTGAAAATAATTTAAAAGAAATGGTATTGTTAAATATATTTTTATTATAAAATTTTTGTACAAAATATTTTTTTATATTTAATATAATTTACAAGATATTTTCAGTGATGATTTCACCTTCAAATCATCTTTCAGCACTAAGTAAAATTTTCTAAATTAATGACATTATTCAACTTACACTTATGTCAAGTTTTATTAAAACCAATATTTTAACGTAATAGATAATTTATATAAGGGATATTTATACAAGGAATACAAAGAGCAAATTTTTTAAAATAATTTCTTTCTTGAAAAACAAATGGCATAGTTCAATAGAGATATTTATTCTGCAAAACTTTTAAATAAAACATTTTTTGATATTTCATTTAGTTTATAAAATATATAGAAAAAAGCGTAAGTCTTTATCTTTGAAGATTGGTTTTATTTCTTTAAACCATTTTTTAGTAGTAACTGAAAATTTCGAAATTTATCTATTTACTTAACCTATATTTATACCAAGTTTTATTATAATGTGAATTATATAATTACTTGGTAAAAGAATATTATAATTTCGACCGTTTTTTGCGGCTAATTGACGTCCGGTCACAAAACGAACTCTCCTTCTTGACAGTCAATAATATAGGTTGCTTTCCAACAAGAGACACAAGTCGATACAAACATCATTCTATCTTTGTTCCACATTTAGTGAATAACGATGGGTGCTTTCCAGTTGCGTACACTGTGTCACACAAAACCAGTTTATTGGTTGCATATTATCTTACAAAATATTTTAGATAATATGTGACCAATAAACTGGTTTTGTGTACATGTGTCAAAATGTGTTAAGCAATTGGAAAGCACCTAAAGATAGGATGATACTTGTGTCGACTTGTGTCTCTTGTTGGAAAGCAACCATAGAGTGAGAAAGCACTAGGGACAAGTCAACTTTCTCAAGGTCGGTTTATGACGGCCGTAATCCGTTAACTTATATCGGAATCGTAAAAAATTGACCAATCATAGTCGAATTATAAAAGAATAATCGACTGTGATTGGTCAATTTTTTACGGTTCCGGCATAAGTTAACGGATTACGGCTATCATAAGCCGGCCTTTAGACTTGTTCTACAATACGTCGTATGGCGCTGTTGGGCGTTGGAACGCAGTCAATGGGCCAATCAGAGGATTTGTTTTTCGAGACGAGTTCTCCTGATTGGACCATTGATTGCGTTCGACATCCGACTCCGACATACGACGTATTGTAGAATAGGCCTTACGGAAGATTCACACCGCGTTCGATGTCCGACGTACGATGTCCGATATCCAATAGGAGAACAGTTTTCTAATAGAGAATTCAATTCTCCATTGAAAAGCTATTTTCCTATTGGATATCGGACATCGTACGCTGCACATTGGACGCGGTGTGAATCCTCTATTAATCTATAACCGTATCCATTAACTTATGCTGTAATCCATAAGAAATAGACCAATCGCAATTAACTCTTCTTGTAATAATTGACTGCAATTGGTCAATTTTTTATGCATTACATCATAATGCAGGATTCACACCGCGTCCAATATCAGATATACGACGTCTGATATCCAATAAGAGAACAGCTTTCTATTAGAGAATTCAATTCTCCATTGGAAAGCTGTTCTTCTATTGGATATTGGACGTCGTACGTCGGACATCGGACGTGGTGTGAATCCTCCATAAGTTAACGGTTACGATTATCATAAATCGGCTTTTAATAAGTCCACATGATGTGGTAACGCTTGCTGCGCTACAAGAAGCAACACACAGGGTGCTTAACACCAATCCAATCGCTTAACACATCTTGACATATCTAAAACATCTTGTAAGATAATATGCAACCAACAAACTGGTGTAACACAGTGTACGTAACTGGAAAGCACTCACAGTATCCAATCAAAGTGCCGTTTTTCCATAAAAGCTAGAAGTTTATTGGCTATCGCGTCGGTTCTTGTGTCGCGCGTAAGCGATTCCACGTCCTGCGGACCATTACGCTCTATGCACAATGCCAGGCAACAGACAATAGGAACAGGGAATAGGAAATCAGATTGGTCAATTATTTCTATTCCCTGTTCCTATTGGCTAATGTTTATTCCTATTGCCTGTTACCTGGTATTGTGCATAGGGCTTAAGGCAACAGGCAATAGGTTTGTTCTTTCGACCTGAACTGGCTGCACTAGTTCACGAAGTTTGCACTAATGCGTTCTTTCGATCAAAACAGTGCAAGAAAATGTGTTCTTTCGAACAGTGCAGGCTGAACTAGTGCAGCGAGTTCAGTGAACTGACTGCCCTAGGTCTGGAGGTAGAGCAAGCAGTGCAGGGCAGCTAACCGAAAAAATTTAAATTTGTATCTATAACCTGTAAAATCGGTATACCTAGTTGACATTACGTAGAAGAAATAATCCGACGACGGAATCTATAAACAGTAAGTAAATACTTAAATATATAATAAATATATAATGTAGATAAATATATAATAAATATATAATGTAGAATGACATAAAAGAAGTATTTAGAATGTTATCCAAACAGCACAAAATATCCGAAAGACATCCTGGGAAGGCTCTTGGACGTTTTTTCGGAGGGATTTGTTGTATGGGTATCCAACACAAAACAGTTTTTAAAAGAAATAGGATTGTTCAACAAAACATAAAATGCTATAAGTGCGAAAACATGACCATAAATTGATCTATGTTATTTAATCCAGCCATGTTGTCCGCCATCTTACACTGCTCTAACTTGCTCTTACCCGTTCTTTTCAGACCCATATGTATCTTTGCACTGGTCTGCACTATCTTGAACTTTCTTCAACTAGTACAGTTCCAGTGCAGTCCTAGGTCAGGTCGAAAGAACAAACCTAATAGGAACAGGGAATAGGAATTCGGATTGGTCAATTATTTTTATTCCCTGTTCCTATTGACTAATGTATATTGCTATTACCTATTGCCTGGCATTGTGCATAGGGCTTTAGAATACGCATGCGCGAGAAAATGTTCCGGCTAGCAACATTGCATGGGCTTTGAAATCACACAGTTCGATTCGCGGCATTCTTCTAACATCGTTTCGCCGGTTCACACGAGGAGATTTTTTTGTGGCAAGAAAATTGTTAACGGTGGTAGAAAAGGCAACGATAGGCAACATTCCTCATAAAAACTAAGATTCTCACGTTTTTATACAGTAAGCGTAAAATATATATATATTTTTATATATATTTTTATATATATTTTTATATATATTTTTATATATATTTTTATATATATTTTTATATTTTGTATACTTTTTCTTCACTATCCGTGTACACTTGTGTTTCTTTGGTACGTATAGTGAGGACTATTAACCTTACTTGACCTGCAATCTGATATTTATTATATATCTTTACAAAGTGTCCATATATGGCAATATATGTCCATATATTTCCATATATGACAATGGTAACAATTTATCTTTGTTTTCCTGCAGTTTTTGCGTGAAAAAATTGTTAAAATAAGCAAAATTCAAGTTGTAATTCTTTTGTGAATAAAGGCAGAAATTGAAACAGTAAACACGTTATATATGCATACACGTGTGCAGTAAAAAATCGTAGTAATTTTAATAAAATTATTAAAACTATTATATTGGTCTTTATACTGTTACATTAAATTAGAAAGTTTATTCGATTTTTAGCTAAATTGAATTTTATTACATCTAATTATTATTTATTTTATTATATTTAATTATATTTAATGAAGATTAATTAAGTTAATACATTTAGTAGTCAGCACCTGTTTTCAGCACTTTTGCACAAATTTTATTAAATATTAATGATATCTCCTTGTATAGAAGTTAAGACAGTAAACAGAAATAAAGAGTATTTCATATACTCATGCTGACTGCTCAAGTACTAAACATTGTACTTTATTTAACAAAAACATTGTATTATCAATCAAGTAACAGTGTAAGTTTTTTTAGCTGAACTAAGTGGATGGAAAAGTAGGATGGTTTTTATCTTCGAAGTAAACTAGGTATATAACCTAGAATTGAAAAACAAAGAACAAAATTTCAGTACAGCATCAATTCAACTAAGAAGAACAAGCTTTCTGATTTTTCGCCAATATATTGGAAGCATTTTGAATATCTCTATTAGAGAAAATGGCCAATATACTGTTGCAAAAGATAGAAAATCAAATCAAACATTTTTGTTCATTATATAAAGAATATATATATTGGATCAGTCTAGATGAATATTAAGCAAAAATATTTTGAATGAAAGTTCTAATTATATTATTGTAACGTTATTAATAAGTGTGCTATGAGTTTTATAAATATATGGAGACTAAAGCAATTGTTAGTATTATTGGAACAAAACAGGAAGCAACAAAAGAAAATTTCTATATCGTCAATTTTTATATGATAGAAAGGATATAAGATATATCTTGTTCATATGATGATTGATGATTTATCTTGTTCATATGACTTATTGCTTAGCCATCTATTTTGTTAAATTCATATTTCTAACATTTCATGAGGCTTAGTATCAATAGATGTTGCTTAAAGTTGTCTTATACAGGATACACAGACTTTTACTAAAAATTAGATTCAAGTTTTTCAATTGAAGATACGTAACATATCTGTTATAACAATTCAACTGAAAACTTTCATCTAATTCTAAACTCAAATCTAAGTATCTTATTTCAATCAATTTATTCTTACTTCAGCTTAGCCAAGAAGTAGGGACTTGATTTACAATTCATGCCTTAGCTCACACATTCATGCCATGCTAATATTTCATGAAGCTTAAGCAAGTATTAATAGTCGTTGTTTAAAGTTTGTCTTATACAGGATATACAGACTTTTATCAAGAATTAGATTCAAGTTTTTTAATTGAAGATACATAACATCTATTATCACAATTCAACTGAAAACTTTCATCTAATTCTAAACTCAAATCTGAATATCTTATCTAAATTAATCTTATCTGAGTTAATTTTATTTCAATCAATCAATTTATTCTTACTTCAGCTTAGTCAAGAAGTTGGGACTTGATTTACAATCCATGCCTTAGCTCACACATCCATCCCATGCATATATTCCTGCCATCATTCGCGCCTCTATCTAACTTGATCTAACTCTTTTAAATCTATTTAAAGCTCATTATAACTAGTCGCTATGACTGTCCTTGTTTGATGATGTCAGAAGCGAGAAAACGCATGCCAAGATTTCGTTCATTATACTTTTAATTAAAAGGATATATCCACAAAGTGACATTGGTGATCGATTCAGCACACTTGTAAAATTGTCCGAACACTTTTCTTTTGGTCGAAAAATTAATAAATAATCGCAAAATTAACATTGACATTATCTTCAGAAAAGATATTAAAAAGGAAGGTTCCATGTCAAGTTAATTTTGCGATTATTTATTGATTGTTTGAGCAAAAGGAAAGTATTTGAACAATTTTACAAATATGCTGAATCTATCGCCAATGTCACTTATATGGATATATCTTTTTAATTAAAAGTATAACGGACGAAATCTTGGCATGCGTTTTCTCACTTCTAACGTCATTAAACAAGTACAGTCATAGCGACTAGTCATAATGAGGAGTCTTAAATAGATTTAGAAGACATTAGATTAAATTAGATAGAGGCAGAATGTATGTGTGGGATGGATGTCATTAAACAAGGACAGTCACAGTGACTACCTAAGAGCCTTAATTCTAACTTTATACACTATATCTCCTCATTATCTCCTCACCTATTGTACTTTCCATTTCTTTATCCTTTCTCCATTTTCCTCTCTTAATCTAAATATCTTATTTAAGATTTGAAAGTAATGACTATTATATGAACTTTAGAATCATTTGTTTAAAAAATGTTTGAATATTGGCAAGAAACAAGTATTACAGAATGAATTGTATATTTTAGCATGACAGTACTCTAGCAGCAAGGAGTGGTTCATCGAGCTGCGAAAATAAACCTCAACGATGCCGACTAAAACCGAATTAGAAGATGTTCGTATGATTATGTTATCACTATTGGTATCTCGACCTGGTTTCACACAATTGCCTGTTCTTGACCAGGATTACTACGAGTACGAAGGCAAACGTATACCATGGCGTAAGTTCGGCTTTGGTAGTCTATTAGAATTCTTGCAAAGTATGCCAGAATACTTTTGTTTCTCGGAAATTAACGGCGTCAGATCTGTTCGCGCTATTACTGACAAGAGCAAGCACGTGAACTCATTAGTAGAGCGTCAGAAGAAAACATCGAAGTTCACTCGTCCTAATCGGTCTTTATATCGTCATCCGCGTATGCTGCGCTATAGACCGAAGATTCCGGCCGAGAAGCTGAATGATCTGGTGGGGTACGTCAGGAACCATCCAAATGGCGTGAATATAAATATCGTTTTGTCGATGCTTCAGAGCCAATTGCCATATGTCACGCTGACCACGTACGATATTCAAGAGCAATTGCGCGAGCTAGGACATCAGCTGTATCTGGACTGTGACACAATTCGTCCAGTAGTAAGAAACTGTTCTGTTCCCCGAACTAAAATTTCTGAACGCTGCATGTCTCCGTTAGTATTGGAGCCACCGGTCGATATGTCTAAACCATCGTGCTCCAATGCTATGTATACCGTTCCCGAAGAATGCCCCGACACGATGTTTACAGACGAGGATGGCTTTGTGCGGCCTAACAGCGCACGATGTTCAAGGCAGCCAAAGACGGATGAGCGACTCATATCAAGTCTAAAGGAGCGTCCGAATTATGAAGAGATGATCAGTTATCACGATAATGTTCATCACGATAACCAAGAAGAGATGTATAGTATCGACGATAATACTGACTCCATGGACTTGAACATGACCGAGAACGAATCGAATAAATTATCGAATTTGATAAGTCAGAAAATGCAGTCGCGACTACAGCAACTGGTACAGAAGTATCCAGACGGCATAAAGTGTTCAGAACTACCGGATTTATACATGAAAGAATTCAAGGTTCCACTGAATTACACTGAGCTAGGCTTCAACAGTGTTTGCACCTTTGTCTCGTACTTACCAGATATTTTCTGTCTAAAGCGATTAGATACTAATGACGATTTTATAGCGTATAATGCTGACATGATATTGAAAAAGCAAGAACAGGATGTGACCAGAAATGACGACCAAAGAACATCTAAAAGTTCTACTCGAGAGACAATGTCCCAAACGAAGCTAATCAACATACCAAAATCACGGTTTGAAATACATGACATAGACAACAATAACACGCAGTTTCCGTTGGAACTTGTAAGTAATAAATTCTATATTTTTTTTTCTTTTTATTGATAATCTAATTTGTTAAAATTTTTCTACGTCTTTTACTTAAAATTAGCTATAAGATATTTTCTCTAGCAAAGTACTTTTCACTTATATTGTGCTTTGAGATTCTAATAATAAGATTAATTCTAATAATTTCTAATAATTATTCTGATCAGTATATATAACTTTATATGTTTTAAACATCGATAAATATTACCGTTAAGATTCACGAGAATGTTGTTGCGCTATTTTAAATATTAAGATGATTGCAAAATAATCGAATCACGTTATTTCGTAGCCCCCAAACGTACTTATGAAATTTGCGCCTGATGATGTTGTACATTGTCATGAGATAAGCCAAATATTAGTCACCGATTTGCAACAGAGCCAAGAATCCTATTTGGAAGTTTACCTTGTAGAAGTATTCACACCGTCCTTCTTTTGGATACATCTACGGAAGAATATAAATCATTTCGAATTATTCATGAAAAATTTGGGGTAAATATCATACAATCAAAGAGCCGGCATATAAATCCGTATCCGAAAAAAGCGTAAATCTGAATTTCTCTTATGTTTAGCACGTTTTATGACGAATATAGCGAACGGTACGCTATCCCTTCTCTCGCGCTGCAACGAAATCTGAACTGTGCGTGCATTTACGCCAATGTGTGGCATAGAGCGGTTATCAAAACTGTAAAGCCGGACTTCAGAGTTACTGTGAGTAAGAGTGCGGCTCAACACGAGAGATTTATAACATTATATTATAAGATCCAGATTATGTTTTTTTATCTTGATTATATTGTATAATTATATTTGTAAAATAACATCGTTAATAATTGTCTCTTAACAGGTCTTATTTATCGACTATGGGACTCAGAAAACTTATCCCCCCGAGAATTTATTCTATTTGACGAAGCAATTCTCTTATCTCCCAGCGCAAGCAATACCTTGCGCTCTATATAATGTCAAACCGTACGGGGGAGATCGCTGGAAGAAGAGTATAACAGATCGTTTTATAGATAGAATTAATGAATCCGTTTTGGCCATGACCGTAGTATCGATTGACTCTTCGGTAAGATTACCTCTAAAATTCATAGTATTAAGCCACTTTTTTCATTTCCGGTCTCAGAAACCAACAGAAGACAACACAAATATATATCGTCGAAAATCAGCGATATTATAAAATAGAATTATCTGTAAGCAAGAAGTGATTGTTCTAGAGTTATTAATATATTTCTTTGTTTTCACAGAAAAACTCCATGTTGATTACCCTGACTGATAAGAGTGAAGCGAAGGAAGTGTGTATAAACGATTGGTTAGTTGAAGAAAATCTAGCGCAATATGGCAAAATGGTGCGTATAAAACGAAATATTCCGTATATATTTTACGAACATAATATTGTTAATACTGGGTCATTCAAAAATGAAGACGCGGTATCAGCAGCCGATACGCGAAAATATATCGATAATGTTAGACACAGTAATCCGTTAGTGTCGTCGGGTGTATCGCCCAACGCAATGAACGAAAATTTTTTTAAAAGTATCAAAATCTTGAACAAAGTCTCGGAGAAAAAGGCTGATAATAATAGCAAGCAGAAAGACGCGCGAAGCTTCAATAGGTTAGCTGTTTTGGCCGATCTTGTAAAAACGAGGTGCGTGGATATTTCTAAGTTGAATGTAGATCTAGATGCAACAGTAAAAGTAGAGCTGTCGCATAAAGTTGAGCACAACGATGAGCATTTCAGTCACAAACAAATGAAACAAAAATCGAGCATAAAATTTAAAGAAAGAGACTCTGACGATGAGACGAATTACGGTGTAAAAGATTTCGGAACGTTCCACAGTTTGTATGGCGGACACGGTGAAATGATTCCCTTTGATTGGTCGGTGATTAGGCAAATTGATTCTTCTAACGTTTCACTGTTGCGCAATCCATTTAGTAATCCAAGTAAAATGAATACGAGCGTTAATAAAGAGGATGAAACATTGGAGTCATCACTGAAGGTTCAAAATCGTAAAATACATGATCGAATAAAAGATTTAAAACCTTGTATCCTGAAATTAGCCGGTGAGGAAAAAGAATACTTTTTGACCGCCTGCAATATCGATTGCAACCATGAAGACGTATCGCAATCCGTGGCGAAGCTGAGACATAGATTGTCAGTACAAAATGACAACAGCACAGAGATAATCGTGCCGAGAAACATATGTGAAAAGTTGCGTATGCACGCTAATGTCTCAAGAATTTCAAGTTGCGATACTATACCTTTTCCATCGATCGAGAACACAAACATTGCCGAATCTCAGGCGGACGAGAGTAACAAAACGCACAAGACAATCGAACAAGAGATGGAAAACAAAAATGATGATACAGAGTATGTGGAACTCTCACAAGACGTTCATCATTCACTTTCGAAAGATGCGTTCGAGCCTAATACGGTAAGATCTCAGCACACTCGTAATCAGATGTATACGAGATGCCAAGCGCTGCTGGAGTCTGTTAAAAATGCGAAACAATATTGGAATTCTAGTGTTGCGGACAATGAGAAAGCTTGGTCTAGTAGTGATCCCGATCCGTCGTCTTGTCACAGTCGTAGCAGCACCGATGAGACGATGCACACGTCGGACGACGACCAAAGGGAGATACTCAGCCGAAAGAACGTTATGTCGCGCTTCAACAAACTGCGGAACTTCGCGACGAAATCTGCATCCAAAACGTCCGACAGTAGCAAGTCGAACGACGAAATTGAAGATTTACCGTCAAACAATTCTACGTCAGACGAGTCTCTTTCCTATGTTATGTATGCAAAACTGAAGCGAATGAGTTTAGTGGATAACTCGCGTGCATTTACGATGCTGCAATGTGTATCTAAGATGCAGCATGAATGCGACTCTAGTCAATTAGATTCCGATGATCTGAGTGATCATGAAAATAGTAATAACGACCCAATATTAGACCAATCGAAAGTTGATGACACGCTTGTAGCAACACACAATAACGCAGAAGTCATACCGGTTGTTCCGGTGCTTAATGACTGTGATATAGATTCCGACGATAGTACCTGGGACGCGTATATCGACTTTTGATTTTTCCCCATTCTTTATTTTATTTATAAACTGTATAATTGCATAATATCTGCACAATATCTTCCAATCCAAAAGAATAAATCTAAAAGAATTGGGAATTTCGAAGAACAGCTATATATATATATATATATATATATATATATATATATATATATATA